CCAACTGCCCCCCCCCCACGCCTCCCCGGGCACAGACTAGATGCAGAACTGGAGGTTCTGTCTTAGGGCCCTCTCACCAGATGGTATCCCTCAGGGCCAGGGTGTAAAGCTGTCAGTTGCTGGGACCTTTAATTAGCACAAACCTTCCACCCTCCGCTTTGGCTGTTTTCCTTCTCTGGATGCTCCTGGGACCTCAGGCTCTCCATCTTTCCATGCCTGTGGCCCAAGAGAGCTAGGAAGGGGAAGCGATGTCAGATGTCTGGAAAAACAGCCTTACTACCTGACTTCCTCCCCAAGACTCAGGAGTCCTGGCTCCAAGTTCATCCTATGTCAAAATGCAGTCACTGGAGTCCCCAGAAGGAAGCCAGTTCAGGCCGCCAGACCTAGAAGTCTCTCAGACTCAGGAGTCCTGAAGCTTCTCCCCAAGGTCCTAGGAGTTGAGGCCTCCAACCCTCCCCCCTCAACGCACACACAGGACTTAGGGCAGATGTTCACCGTCTGTGATTTTCAAATCCTCCTGGGCCTGCGTGGGGGTGGGAGAGATTGGTGGTTAATCCACTGACTCTAAGACTTAAGACCAGATTTTCTGACCCCCTATCATCCTCTCCCAACTGCACCATGCTGCAGGCAGGGGACCTAGCTGAGTCCCCAGCTCCTCAGAAACTGGCAGTTCAGGCCATTAACTTGTCAGTCAACAGAGGTCTGTTCGCCCAGTCTTAGAATCCTAGAGTCCAAACGCCTGCCATTTGAGGACGTCAGAATCTGAGCTCAGGAACGAGAGAGAACCTGAGTGTGGGCCCCCAGTCACTACAGGCTCAGGAATGTCAGACCCAGGGTCCCAGCCCCCTCCAGGTCGCACTCGATTGGCTCGGGGTCCCGCCCACCTGCCGGGCCAGCTGCGCAGCGCACCGGCCGGCCAGAAGCGTGGGAACGCCCCAGCTGGGCGGCAGGCGGCCGTCAGGACAAGCTGCGCGGTTCCCAGCCTCCCCCGCCTGCCCCAGCTCGGGCACCGCCGCCTCCCAGCCGTCGCCCAGCAACCACAGCGGGGACGAGGGGCTGAGCCGGGACTGCGGGGTCTCGGGAAGGGGTGGGGGATGCTGGGGGCCTGGATTCCTGGATCCTTGGACGTGCTATGGGTTGCAGCAAAAGGGGTTCAACCCCTTTTTAAGAGGGGTTTTGAAGCGAGAAGAGCTGGACCCCCTCCTCTTCTCGGGGGTCCCGGTTGCCCCAGGGACCCCGGTGTCCTCTTCCTGACCCTCAGGCCCAAGGGGGGCCCGGGCCCCGCCTCCCCAGGGCGCGGAAACTAGCGAGGCCCCAGAGGCTCCCGTTTATAGCTTCGTTTCCACTCAGCGCCGTGCCTCCGAGGACCTGGGCTGAGCAAGTTTCTTCCACTCTCTCCCCCCGCCATGTCCCCCACAAGCCTGGCTGGGTGCAGGTGTCCAACTCAGCCGGGACGCCCTTCTTCGACCCAGGTGTTCTGGCTCCCAGACCCCAATTTGGCTGGGGCGCCCGCCCGCAGGGAAACCCCGCCCTGGTTGTCCCCATTCATCCAAGTCTCTGCCGCGCGAGTTCCTCAATGGGAAAGGGCGGGTCCCCAAGGGGGCGGGGCGAGTGGGATCGGGCCCTCCCCGGTCTCTCAGAGACAGAGGGCGCGGAACCCGCCTGTGTTTCAGAGTGTTGGAGCCTGCAGCTGGGCAGACTGGGGGAACTCCAGGCCAGAAACGGGGTGGCCTCTAGCCTGGGGCGAAGAGTCGGGCGCGAAGGGAGCTCCCACCAGGGTCGTGAGAGGTGTGCTATTGAGGAAGAAGTTAGCAGGAAAACCCGTGCAGCAAGTCTGCGGAATCTTGGGGGACACACGACGGGGATGCTGGTCTCCGCCCTCCTCGTTCTCCTCTTCTGCCTCAGAGGGCATGCAGGTACCTCCAGGGGCGGATGAATTTGGGGGGGAGGATTGTTTGCCAGCTGCCTCTTTCCTGGGGTGGATGGAACTGGGGGTTCAGACTCCTAGATCTGCCGGAGGAGAACTTCGGGAGCCTAGACTCCTGGGTCCCGAATGAGGGAGCTAAGATCGTTGCTAAACTCAACCTTACTCCCTTCCCCCAATTCTCCTAGGCCCGTCGCCCCATTTCCTGCAACAACCGGATGACCTGGTAGCACTGCTGGGGGCTGAGGCCCGGCTGCCCTGTGCCCTGGGCGAATACTGGGGGCTGGTTCAGTGGACCAAGGACGGGCTGGCTCTAGGGGGTGAAAGGGACCTACCAGGTGAGACTGTTCTCTCTACTCAGGAGGGGTTGGCTCCAGGTGGGGGTGCTGAGCTTGCGCCGTATCTGAAGTCTCTATTTTAATGTTTTCAAATTTAGGAAATTGATGGGCTCAGATAAACATCTGGGAGAACTGAAGTTTTAGCTTCTTTAGGGGGTAGGAGATTTTTATTTGTATTATAAAATACTACATAAATGTAGGAAGGCATATAAAACACAAAAGGAAGATTTGCCAAATAAAGGAGACACTCGTGTAACTACTACTCATGACCCTTGTCAGCTCCTCAGAAGCTTTCTTATTCTCTCTCCTACCATAGCCCTCTCCTCACCCCAGACGTAGTACTAATCTGATTTTTATAGCAATTGTTTTCTTTTTTCTGACGTTTTTACCCCCAAGTTTGCCATGACTCTGGATGCGAGAGGGTTAGTCTCTCTGGCTCAGCACTCACTTTTTGGTGTCTTTCTGGTGTGGGGTGCCTGGGAAAGGAGACTGAGGCCAGGAACTCAGAATCATGGTGACTGCCTCTTCCTTAACTTCAGGGTGGTCCCGGTACTGGATATCAGGGAACGCAGCCAGTGGCCAGCACGACCTTTACATTAGGCCCGTGGAGCTAGAGGATCAAGCATCATATGAATGTCAGGCTACACAAGCGGGCCTCCGCTCTCGGCCAGCCCAACTGCATGTGCTGGGTGAGGACTCAATCCACTTGTACCTGGGAAGCCCAGGGGGACAGCCAGTGCTTAGCTGAGTGTCAGAGTCCGAGGAGCCCAGGGGGGTGGTTAGTTAGAGCTGGGAAGATTGGGGTCTCTGGGCCCAGGGTCCAGCTCTGACTCCAATCCACCCCACAGTACCCCCAGAAGCCCCCCAGGTACTGGGAGGCCCCTTTGTGTCTCTGGTTGCTGGAGTTCCTGCAAATCTGACCTGTCGGAGCCGTGGGGATGCCCGCCCCATCCCTGAGCTGCTGTGGTTCCGAGATGGGATCCGTCTGGATGGGACCACCTTCCACCAGGTCAGGTCGAAATCCCTGTGCAGCTCTTGCCCATTCAGGGAAATCTGCTCAGACCACAGGTTTATCCAGAGGAGAAAAGGGCATGGGAGGAAGGAAGTTCAAGGGTTAGGACCCTTAGTATGTGATTAAGGGTAAGGATTCCAGAGCCAGATATCTCGGGTTCAAATCCTTGCTAGTTGATCAAATCACTTGCTAGTTGATTGATCTTGAGTTCAGGTAACTTAACCTCTCTGTCCCTCAAGTTTCCTTATCTTTATCTGTACAATAGGGACAATAATATTCACTTCATAGGGTAATCGTGAGGATTAAATAAAGTACTTTGAAGTGCCTGATACATAGTAAACACAATATAGCAAAAAGATGAAATCATTATTATTATTCATAACCTCCAGACGCTGCTGAAGGAAGGAACCACTAGGTCGGTGGAGAGCATCTTATCCTTGACTCCTTCCAGCGCTGATGACGGAGCCACCTTGGTCTGCAGGGCCCGGAGCCAGGCCCTGCCCTCAGGGAAGGATACAGCTATCACACTAAGCCTGCAGTGTGAGTGCAGTTAAAAATTGACCCTCCAGGCTGCAGGCCCTTGGGAAAAGAGAGGCCTGAGGTCTGGACTCCAAGGTTTGAGGAAAGAGGAGGCTGTGGACCTGGGACCCTGGGGAAATTGGGAACTGGAGTCTTGGACTTCTTAGCTCAAAAGGAAGAGGAGAGGGGCGCCTGGGTGGCTCAGTCAGTTGAAATTCCAACTTCGGCTCAGGTCATGATCTCATGGTCTGTGAGTTCGAGCCCCACGTCGGGCTCTGTGCTGACAGCTGGGAGCCTGGAGCCTGCTTCAAATTCTGTGTCTCCCTCTCTCTCTGCCCCTCCCCCTCTCATGCTCGCGCGTGCTCTCTCTCTCAAAAATAAACATTAAAAAAAAAAAAAAAAAAAAAAAAAAAAAAAAAAAAGGAAGAGGAGAGTGGGGACCCAGACTCCTGGGGTGGAGAGGCTGGGCACTGGACTCAGATGCTCCATGGAGGTGTTCCAGGTCCTTGCCCACCGCTAACCATTGACCTACCTCCACAGATCCCCCAGTGGTGACTCTGTCTGCAGAACCACAGAGTGTGCTGGAGGGAGAGAAGGTCACTTTCCTGTGCCAAGCAACAGCCCAACCTCCTGTCACAGGCTATAGGTGAGGTCGCCTCTCCTCAGCCCAGAGCAGGGTTTAGGGAGGACTAGGGTTGGGACGTGCGCGGGAGTGCCAGGGGAGCAGGGACAACATGAGCAGCCTCACTGCCTCTGCAGGTGGGCAAAGGGAGGTTCCCCCGTGCTCGGGGCCCGCGGACCAATGTTGGAGGTTGTGGCAGACGCCTCATTCCTGATTGAGCCAGTGTCCTGCGAGGTCAGCAACGCAGTGGGTAGCGCCAACCGCAGCACAGCGCTGGACGTGCAGTGTGAGCGGGGGCGGGGCCCTGGGTGTGGCCAAAGTGGGGCAGATGGGGGGCGTGGCTGCGACTGGCTGCGGGAGAAGGTGGGACGGAAAAGGATGTAGGCAGGGATTGGCTGTGCTGGGTCAACGCCACGGGGAGCAGGGGCGGGAAGGTGTCGTTTCAGAGTAGCCGATCCTGGGTCTGAAGTTGCATCCCTCCCCGACCATGTGACACCTCCTCTCCTCTCCTCTCCTCCAGTCGGGCCGATTCTGCAGGCAAGGCCGGAGCCCATGTCTGTAGACGTAGGGGGAGACGCTTCCTTCAGCTGTGCCTGGCGCGGGAACCCGCTCCCACGGGTAACTTGGACCCGCAGCGGGGACGCGCAGGTGAGACCCGATCTAAAGCCTGTGGCCGTGGCTGGCGGTGGACAGAACTTCCTCTCAAGGTCCTGCCCCTGATGCCCCTACCCTCTCCCAGGTGCTGGGCTCTGGGCCCACGCTGCGTCTTCCGTCGGTGGGGCCCGAGGATGCAGGCGACTACGTGTGCAGAGCTGAGCCGGGGCTCTCTGGCCTGGGGGGCGGCGCTGCGGAGGCTAGGTTGACTGTGAACGGTGAGAAAGTGGCGCTTCCTAGAAGACCTGGCAGAGACTGGGACGGGACACAGAGTGGGCAGAGGGGGCCAGCCCTAAACGGGGGTGGGCGTGCCCTTGAGAGGGAGAGCTTTTTGGACGGCAGGGCCTGGGGCTGGGAGCCAGACCACGCGAAGGCGAGCCTCTGAGGGATTCGGGGTTTGTTGAGGGGCGTGGCCTGGTTGATTGGCTTTAGTGAAGAGTGCCGATACCTGGCCCCGCCTTATTGAGAACTGACGTTTCTGAGGGCAGGGCCTCTATATGACTGGTCCACAATCTCCAAAACAGCTCCCCCAATTGTGACCGCCCTGCATTCTGCGCCCGCCTTCCTGAGGGGCCCCGCCCGCCTGCAATGTCTAGTCTTTGCATCTCCGGCCCCAGATGCTGTGGTAAGGGAATGTCCCCGCTCTCACGACCAGCCCAGTTGTTATCCCTGTCCTCCCAAGCCAGACCCTCAAAACTGCTATGACCACCTCTAACTTTTCGACACCTTGCCTGCCCTTCCTTCCTTCTCCAGTCTCCTTAATGACCTCCTTTTTGTGTGTGCCCCCAGGTCTGGTCTTGGGATGAGGGCTTTCTGGCGGCGGGGTCGCAGGGTCGGTTCCTGGTGGAGACATTCCCAGCCCCGGAGGGCCGCGGGGGCCAGGGCCCAGCCCTGATCTCTGTGCTACACATTTCGGGGACCCTGGAATCGGACTTCAGCAGGGGTTTCAACTGCAGTGCCAGGAACCGGTTGGGTGAGGGAGGCGCCCGGGTCAGCCTGGGGCGTAGAGGTGAGATCCTGGGCCTGAAGCCTCCAAATCTGAGGATCCCAAACCCCCACACGCCACAGTCTCTAAATCAAAGACCTCCAAATGCAGACACCCTCAAATCTTGAAAGCCTCAAAACTATGAGTCCCTTGAATCCTGAGACCCTCAAAACAGTAAATTCCCTCAAATACGGAATTCTAAACTGAGAGACCCCCCCCCCCTCACACTTAGGTGCCCCAAAGAAAGGAAGTTCCAAATATGGGGAATGGTAAAGTTAAAAACCCTTCAAACTCTAGGACTCCCTAGAGCCAGGGAGTTTAAACTTGTGGAACCTCAAATTCGTGAGCCTGTAAGCCTAAGGGACCTCAAGCTAAGGGACCTACAAACTTGGGTATCCCCAAACTTGGGGACTTTTTGAATCCAGAGACGCCAACGCAAGCAAGTCCTGAGTCCCTGTTCCCCAGTTCTTCCTGGGTCTCATGCTTACCCTCCTCAGAACATCCCCTCTCCTTCCTGTAGACTTGCTGCCCACAGTGCGGATTGTGGCTGCAGTGGCTGCTGCAGCCGTGACTCTTCTTATGGTCATCATTGGGGTGGCCCTCTGCTGCTGGCGCCATGGCAAGGGTTAGTGACTGAGCCCCACCTCAGCACCATCCCCCAGCCCCCTCCCCCCATTGACCTGGCTGAGACCCGCCCCAGTCTCACCTCTCTGGCCTCAGACTCACCTTCAGACCCTGGTTCCTCCCTCATGCCCTAAGTCCTTCTCCTCAGGGTCACACTCCTCCCCCTTGCAGGTTCTCATTGGTTCCCAGCCTCCTGACCCAACCCAGCCCTCTCTCTTCCTGTTCATTGGTCTCTGCAAACCATGACCCTGCCCCATCACTTATCTCTGCCTCCCACTGTCCCTGGCCTCAGCCTCTTTCTCCAAGCAAAAGAACCTGGTACGAATCCCAGGCAGCAGTGATGGCTCCAGTTCAAGAGGCCCTGAAGAGGAGGAGACCGGCAGTGGCGAGGACCGGGTAGGATGCAGGGTCCCCAGACAAGACTCAGCCTCTAGAACAACTAGTAACCCAGTCCCAACTGTTCTCCCAGTCCCCACTGAGCCCCCAAATTCAAAGGCGGTCCACACCCTAATAAGTAATCCCAGGCTAACATGTCCCCCAAGTCCAAATATGCTCCTGACCCAGTTATCTCCTAGACCAAATACGTCCCCAGGGCCCTTTGTTGTCTTGAGTCTAGACCCCAGCTCCAGGTGCTCTTGGTCCCTCCTGCCTGGCCTCCACTGTCCAACTGAGGGTTGTTAAGGTCTGGCGCTGGACCAGGAGGATCCTCTGAGTGCCCCCTCTCACTAAGCACCCTATCCCAGGGCCCCATCATGCAAACGGATCACAGTGACCTGGTTCTGGATGAGGAAGGGGCTCTGGAGACCAAGGTAAGTGTTGGGAAGGGATGGTTTCCTTTCACTGAGTCTCCAGCTCTCTCCCTGCTTGGTCCCCTCCTTTTTCACTCTCTTGCCCCCAGAGCTAGGACCTAGCCCCCTCTACACTTTCCTCCTGCCTCCTGGGCCACTTCACCCACCTCCAGGTCCTGTTTGCACAGCTGCTGATAATGCCCACAAATGTGTCCCAGCCTTGGCCTCCCTCTCGGAGCCCCACATCAGGGCTCACTCTGCCTGTGCTTTCCCATCACAGTCCTGCCTCAGGTCTCCTGGATGCCTCTGCCAGGCCCCTTCCTACCTACCAGCTCCCGCACTGGCCTCACTTCTCCCCAAACCGGCCCTTCCTTTGAAGTCCCCTCTCTTGGCCTCCACTGACCTCAGTCCCTAGCCCAGAGCCCTTCTCTGTCCCCTCTGTACCTAGCACATGCTATTCTATTGGCCTGAAACACCACTTTCCTTCCCATACTACCTAATTCTGCCCTTCATTCCTCTGGTCTCAGCTCACACATTTCTTGTTCTAGAAAGTCCATGCTTCCCTACTCACAGCCCTGATCATTCTGTCTGTGTTCCACCTGCCACAACTAGGACCACTCTGCCCTGGATTCCCATCCCAGCCCTGAAATCCTGTTTGTGCTTCCCCATCAGGCCTTCTCACTCTGCCTGTATTTCCCTCATCACTACCCTGACCCCCCTGGACTCTGGTGATTTGCCATTTCCTCTTTGGCCTGGGATCTCCATGTAGGCAGGGCCCAGTCTCTCCCCTTGATAGACATGTCCAGCAGCAACATAAGACATGACACAGAATCAAAGCCTTGGGGCCGGTGGGCAGATGAATGAATGAATGTCTTGGTCTCAACCCCTCTGTTCCCACTGCATCTCCTTCCAAACCACCAGCCCTCAGCAAGCCTATACTCCTCTGTCGCTGCCTTTCTCTGCCCATTTCCGTCTGTCCTTTTATCTCTTGTCTCTGTTTTCCTGTCCCAATTTGTCTTCCTATCAGTCTGTATGTCTATCTCTCTGACTCTGGGTCTCTGTTTGCTCTCGCTTCTGTCTTTTTGTCTCTCTCTAGGTCTGGCTCTAAGTGTATCTCTCCATTAGTGACCCTCACCCCATCTTATATCCTCACATACATTAACAAATCCCATTTGTCCCTCAGGACCCAACCAATGGTTACTACAAGGTCCGAGGAGTCAGTGTGAGCCTGAGCCTTGGTGAAGGCCCTGGAGGCGGCCTCTTCTTGCCGCCCCCCTCCCCCCTTGGACCTCCAGGGACCCCTACCTTCTATGACTTCAACCCACACCTAGGCACGGTCCCACCCTGCAGACTGTATAGAGCTCGAGCAGGTTATCTCACCACACCCCATCCTCGAGCTTTTACCAGCTACATCAAACCTACATCCATTGGACCCCCAGATCTGACCCCCAGGACTCCACCCTTCCCATACGCTGCCTTCCCCACACCCAGCCACCCACGTCTCCAAACTCATGTGTGACACCTCTCCAAGTGAAGAGTCCTGGGATCTTCAACTTGCCATAATGGATTGTCCTGATTTCTGAGGAACCAGAACAAGATGGTGACCTTACTCCTCCAAAATTGAACACTGATGGGAGAGAAAGATCATTACAATTGTCTGGATTACTGGTGTACAGTCAGCTCAGTCAAAGGGGACTGAGGTCCCCAAGTGGGAGCAAGATGGCCACTATGACCGACTATTCCCCTATGTAAAAGAGATTCAAGATGGCAGATGGGCTCTTTGTAGACGGACGGGGACAGGGGGTGATGGGATGGAAGGCAGGGATGGAAATTGTTTCCAGGTGTGGAAAGAAGAGATTTCAAGATGACCACCTGTACTGAGAAAAAGGCAACGTAGGTTAAGATGGAGGCCAGACCAGGCCCTGTCCTGGTTCTCCCTGAGGGACCCTTTGCTTGGCCAATTCAAGTGCAGCCAATATGGCTAATTACTCTCTGGGAACCCCAGATGGCCACCATCTCGATTCCTTTCAACTTCCTTAAGGGCCCTGGATGAACTGAATCCAAGGAATGAGGATAGGGTGAGAACCATCATGGGGAGAGGAGAGTAGTGTGGGATGGGTGGGGTGGAATCTTGGAATGAGAATATTTATGTTTAATAATAAAAAAAAAAAGTCAATAAGTGAATGCGTCTTGGAGATCCTCCTGGCATTATTACCCTCCATCAAGGAAGGGGTCCATTAAATCAGCCCTAAGACCCTTCCTCTACCCTATTCTCTACCCTAGGCGATGAAGTGGCTGTAGGAACAAAACCTTGAGCCACCTCCCAGCCTTTTGCTACCCATTTAGCACTCCAGGCTCTTTTAACATACATCTACACAAACACACATGCACAGATGCACATACATGATAGTGCTGCCCCAGTTGGCTTGCGGAAAACAGAATTCTACACTTATTTAAGGAGACAAAGCAGTGAGCCCTGAAGAGTAGGCAGGGTGGGAGAGGCTAGGGGTGAGAAAATAGAAATGCCATGGTCCTTAAAGCAAGGATAGGGTTGAGGCCCTTGTCCTGAGGTGCTGGGTACCTGACTCAGGTCATCCTTAAAGAAAGGACCTACGGGCTTTGGTTTTATGCATCCTTGAGCTAGGAATTAAAGGTCCAGACACCTGGGATCCTTGGAAAGCAGAGCAGAAGGCCAAGACCCCAAGAGAAAGGGTGGGGGCTTTTTCTCTGGTCCTGAAAAAGAAAGGGCCCGTAGTCCAGATTCCTGGATCTGAGGAAGAAGGGGACTGGATCTCA